ATCCAGTCGTCATAAACGGCCACTATATATATATATATATATATATATATATATATATATATATATATATATATAAATGTTGTAAATCGTCTTTCATGTCTTGTTCATAATAGAAAAAAATATTTTTGAAAGCAAAAACATTCTTTTGGGAAATTTAGATTTATTAAAACTTTTATTAATAATAAAAAAAAAATAATTCAACAAATAGAATATTTTGAAAGCGTAAATAATTTAAAAAAAATTAAATGAAAACGTTTAGTAAAATTTTTACGATTCCCACCCCAGCATATTTAAGACGATTGTCTATATTTAGTTAGAATAATTTGTTTGTTTTTGCATTCGTTTTTAAAATTTAATATCTAAAGTTTTAAAAGATACCAATTTCTATAAAATGGTAAAAGAAAGTTTAAAATGTCCCGATTAAAAATATCGAAAAGATATGTTTGTGGAATATCTGATTGCATGGAAGCTACTGAATATTCCCTTTACCCACGTATTTACGGGAATTTATTGTTGTGCTTTTACAAGAAGATGCCAAGTAAAATGCAAATTTCAAACACTTTCTGCAGTATATAAGAAAATATTCCTAAACAACTATTTTTTATATGAACATCAAAACAATTTCCTTGAATAAGAGAACACCAATGAAGGGCAGTTAATTAATGAAATAAACTTTTTAAAAATCAATATGCAAATTAGTTAAACCTGGAGAGTGATATCCATTAGAAGTAGATAATGTATAATACAGATATTAAGGCTTCTAATTTTTTTACTCTAAATAGAGTTGTGACTTTTTAACCCCAGACTATGTTGGATAACTTCTAACGAAGTCTAGGGTAACAAGCCACAACTCTATTGTTCTTCGTAGTTAATCATACAGATTCCATAATATAAGTTTTACTTAATTAGCTGTTATATCTCTCTAACTCTTCAAATATTGAATGTATAACTAATACTAACTTCTACTTTCCCATCTTTATACTACATTAATTTTATCTTATAATTTGTCCCCTGTTCTGTCACACATGAAATAAAAATAATTGTTTGTACGCAAAATAGAGATCTACGTACATCAAATCGTCCTTAAATTAAGTGGCAGCAGAAGAATTATCGTTGAACTTTTAAAAGGTAAGCTTAAACATTAATTCACTACTTAAATGCAGCGATCAATTTTGAGTTCTTCTGTAGATTATTGACGCCTATCGCATCTACTCCTCCCTAGCTATTGTGTGTCCTCCACATGTGCGAGTTCAAATGCCGCCCGATAATGCGACTTTTAACTACGTTTATAATAAAACGTGAATTGCAATTGTGGAAAATAAGAGTTACTCCTCTTGAACTACGAAAGCAAGGATAATGGCTAGTATAATATATTAATATATATATTTTTAACCTCGCATAATCTGTTAACCCTGAATCTGAGGTCAACGAAAATCGTCCCCTACGCCTAACTTTTTTAGGGCTTTTGAATGAGCGATGAATCATGGAAATCGGACTAGTTTGGGTGGAGGAGTTGCTTGGACACAGACACGCACAAACACACACATATATACTGTACTTTATATATAAGATTAAATTTTGTTTTACAATGTTTGTAGTTTCTTTGTAAACAGACTTTTAACATCTAACGAAGTCACGGTGCGATTATTAGCTTCTGTATTATGTAGCATTTCATGTAATTCGAGTAAAAGATTCTTGTCTTTTTTCATGGTGGCGTGCTTTCTCAGAGCGCATGAATAATCCGTCGAGCCTGCGTAATTTGACGGCTGAACACACGTATTAATATATTCAGTCTCTGAACTTTTTTCGGTATGTCTATGTTTGAATCACTTCGGAAAACGCCAGGGGAAGGGTTCATGCGACGCCACCAACAAAAATACGAATATGTTGGCAAACACACACACACACACAATTAAATGTATATATCATCTTTTCTTTCTTTCTTTCATTTTCTTTTCCACTCTATATCTAGTTAAATGTATATATCATCTTTTTTTTTCTTTCTTTCTTTCTTTCTTTCTTTCTTTCTTTCTTTCTTTCTTTCTTTCTTTCTTTCTAATTCTACTGGTTTCCCCATTCCTTTCTTTTTTGTTCTCGCTTTCCAATTATGAAGAAATCAATGTTTTTATTCGTTTATTTTATTTTAGTTATTTTAGTACTAAAATATATGTACATATGGCACGTTTTTCTTTCTTTCTTTTCTGTCATGTATAATGTCTTGTCCCCTCTATGCATTTTTCTCTTTCTTTCTTTCTTTCTTTCTTTCTTTCTTTCTTTCTTTCTTTCTTTCTTTCTTTCTTGTTCCCTGCAAGTATTTTTCTTTTTCTTCCTTAATTTCTTTCTTTCTACCTGGCTTTCTTACATCCTTAATTTTCTTTGTTTGTTTGCTTCTTTCTTTATAATTATGAAGATATAGTGTTTTTATTTGTTTCTTTATTGCTATTTATATATTTAATTATATGTACATATGATTCTTTCTTTCTTTCTTTCATTTTACTTAGTTTCTTTCAATAACGTTCATTTTATGTAGATATTTTTCTTTCTTTCTTTCTTTCTTTCTTTCTTTCTTTCTTTCTTTCATTTTACTTAGTTTCTTTCCATAACTTTCATTTTATGTAGATATTCTTTCTTTCTTTCTTTCTTTCTTTCTTTCTTTCTTTCTGTATTTATTCATTTATTCATATAAGTTAAAACAGTTCTCTTCCTTTATCTACATATATTCTTTTTTTTTTCTCGCGTGAGTTTATACGAAAATTCATTTTTATATTTTTGACGTGATTTTGTTTTACATATTATTCAAACTTCTTTCTTTCTTCTACGACATTACATTTTGCCTTCTTGCCCCAAACCCAACATTTATTGTGTAACAAAAAAAACAGACTCGATCTGCTCCCATTAAAACAACAAATTCGTTTCTAACATGACAAGGAAAGAAAAGAAAAAAGGCGGCAAAGTAAAAGTCCGCCATGTTTCTTCACTTTGAACGACATACTCAATGTCAACAAACATTTTGTACAAACACTGATATTGGTTCTCAATAAAAAAAAAATATCCGTCATCTTTCACCCCCCTGTCCCGACACACAGGGATGCCTTGAAAGTATAGGAGGATTTTTTAGGGGTACAATCGTTATATTAATATAGCTACTACTGATATCTTTATCTGTATGTACGGCCTCTATATTTCTCTAATTAGGATCAGAGTGTAGAATCTGTCCCGTTCCCAGTAGGTCTGAGATAGGATCAATTACGATTTATGACTAAGAAAAATACAAAAAAAATGCCTCTAATTAATTGCGAAAAGTGCGGATGAGGATGAAGAGGAGGAGGATGAGAAGTGACAGGAGCAAAGCTAAAAAAAAAAACAAGGTTGAGGTGAAGCAGGGGAATAAGGAAATTGTGACAGAGGAAAGAAATGTCGAGAGAGCAGGTGTTAAAATTATTTAAAAAATAGGTTATGAAGGAGAAAATGTTAACGGTAAGAAAGCTAGAGGGAGAAATATACAGGGCGAGAAAGAGGAAAGTAAGAGATAAGAAAAATAGAAAGAGCAGGAGGAATAAGCGGGAGTGAGAGAGGGAAACAGAAGGTAAGAAAAGAGGAGGGAGGAGGAGGAATAAGATGGGTGAAAGAGTAAAGTAAGAGGTAAGAACAGAAGTAAGTCCAGGAGGTATAAGCACGCGTAAAAAGGAATAAAAGGAATAGTAGAAGGTAAAAACAAGAGAGAGAAGGAATAAGTGGGAATGAATGAGGTAAGTAAAGTAAAAGGAGCAGGCGGAATAAGCGGGAGTGAGAGAGGAAAGCAGGAGGTAATAAAACAAGAGAGAGAAGGAGGAATAAACTGGGGCGAAAGAGTAAAGTAAGAGGTAAGAAAAATAGAAAGAACAGGCGATAAAAGCGCATGTGAAAAAGGAAAAGTAGGAGGTAAAAAAAAAACAAGAGAGAGGGGGTGAATAAGAGGTGGGGAAAGTGGAAAGAATGAGGTAAGAAAAGAAGAAGGAGAAGGAGGAATAAGCGGGGGTGAGAAAGGGAAGCAGGGGGTAAGAAAAGAAGAGGGAGGAGGAGGAATAAGATGAGTGAAAGAGTAAAGTAAGAGGTAAGAATAGCAACAGGAGCATATAAGCACGGGTAAGAAAAGGAATAGTAGGAGGTAAAAACAAGAGACAGAAGGAATAAGTGGGAATGAATGAGGTAAGTAAAGTAGAAGGAGCAGGAGGAATTAGTGGGAGTGAGAGAGGAAAGGAGGAGATGAGAAAAGTGGAAGAAGGAGGAGGAATAAGCGTGTGTGAGCGAAGAAAGAATGAGGTAAGAAAAGTAGAAGGAGCAGGAGAAATATGCGGGAGTGAGAGAGGAAAGGAGGAGGTAATAAAACAAGAGAGAGAAAGATGTTTAAAATGGGGCGAAAGAGTAAAGTAAGAGGTAACAAAAATAGAAAGAGCAGGCGATAAAAGCGCATGTGAAATAGGAAAAGTAGGAGGCAAAAAAACAAGAGAGAGGAGGTGAATAAGAGGTGGGGAGAGTGGAAAGTATGAGGCAAGAAAAGAAGAAGGAGCAGGAGGAATACGCGGGAGTGAGAAAGGGAAGCAGGGGGTAAGAAAAAAATGTAGGAGGTAAGTAAACAAAAAAAAGGAGGACGAATAAGCGGGAGTATGTGGGAGTAAAAGAGGAAAAAAAGGAGGTAAGAAGAGTAGAAGGGGGACGAGGAATAAGTGGGAGTGAGAGAGGAAAGTAGGAGCTAAGAAAAGTAAAAGGAGCAGGAGGAATATGCTGGAGTGAAAAAGCAAAGGTAGGAGGTTGGAAATCAAGAGAGAAAGGAGGAATAAGAGGGCCGAAAGAGAAAGTAGGAGGTAAGAAACCTACAGGGAGGGTAAGAGGATGGGAAAAGGAGAGTAGTAGGTAACATTGTTACGGAGAGATGAGTGAATCAGGATTTGTGGAGGTAGAAATATCGGACATAAGAAAAATAGGGTAAAAGGAAACCTAGGCTAAAGGGAAAAAAATACCTTTGTGCTTCAAATAGTTGAGTCCGTCCTTGAAATCTACAAATCTCCTCGTCCTTGCATTGAATACCGTTGCCATATATGGTCTGTTGTCCTCGCTGTTCATCTCGGGGTCCTTGACAACATCCAGAAACGGATATGCAATGTGATAAGTTCTGATCTGTCATCTCGTCTACAGTGACTTTCTAACAAACGTGATGTGGTTTCCCTCTGTCTTTTCTCCAAATATTTTCATGGCAACTGCTCTTACGAGCTACTTTCACTGGTGCCCCGACTGCATGGATTCAAGCGTGCTACTAAGTTGGCATCTCGGTCCCATTCTTTCACTGTCGAAACAGTTAAATATAACCGCCTCTCCTACTCCAACAGCTTCTTCTCTCGCACTTCCCAACAGTGGAACGCCCTTCCTCTTATTTGCTTTTCTGATATAATCTACAAATTTTCAAATGTAATGTCAGTCGCCATTTCTGATGAATTGATCCTGATCCCCGTCCTTATCTATATCCTTTCCTCAAACACCCCTCTTTACTCTTGCTCTCGTTCTCTGTAAACCCCTTGCGTGCAGGTAGCGCTCCCGTCTTTTTTGAGGTGAAATGGTTTGGTTTGGTTTGTTGTGTTTTACGGCATATAAACCTCAGTGGGTTATTTAATGCCGACAAAGATTATATTGCTAGATATATTTTGTTTTGTCACAAATCTATTTCTGGTAATAATTTTTCCTTCAAAAATGTATTGCTAGTAATATTTTTTTCCCTCAAAAATGTATTGCTAGTAATATTTTTTTAAAAAACTTATTGTTAGTAATATTTTTTTTTCAAAAATGTATTGCTGGTAATAGTTTTTGTCTTCAAAAATTTATTGCTGATTTTAATTTTTTTCACAAAATATTCCTGGCATTAACCCATTTTTACACCAGTTTCGGGATTAATTATTTGCCCATAGCTGGGACCCTAACAGGTGCTACCACCCCGGATCAGAGTGGACCTGCGAACACCAGTAATTTAGAGGTGGTTCCACGCTCCTAAAATCCACCTGATCAGAGTCCTTGCTGCTGGACGTAGTTTATCGTCTTACCCAGGACGCGGATGTAGTTTATCGTCATACACAGAACGGTGAGGTGAGATGGTTAAAAACAAAGAAGGCGAGACGGAGCGATTATTCTTTTATAAAAAAATGTCCGCCCTACACAACCTTATTCTAACCACTTCTTATATTAAATATTCATTAATTTTCTTCCCAGTCTTTAATTTAGTCTGCAGGTATTATGGAACTGGGTGTTTCATTATTTAAAAAGTATTTAAAAAATTGTAAGGGAATTATTTAAAAGCAATTAAGATAGCTTTGCCGTTCTTATCACCCCGTCTATTTGAAATTAAGGTAAACATAGAAGCGGAAGAAATAAAGAAAAGACGAAAAGAAAAAAAAATCTAGCTTGAGGGGCTCTTAACGTCGGTATATCTGGGCAATAAGCGAGTGATTTCAATCAGAACATTACAGAAACGATTTGAAAATGTGGAAAAGCAAAGCAGAAAAAAATGACTATTATTTGTAAGCAGACAGAATATATTTTCGTCCGCAAGAGCAAAATTACCCAAAATTTTCACTACGAACGGGAGACGCCAAAATAAAAGAAAAACAGAAACTTAACCATGTGGGAAGGGTTTTGACAAACGACGAAATATGTAACAGAGAAATTCGAAGACATATTGGAATAGAGGAAAAATGCTTTTAATAAGCTATGCAAAGTATCAGCAAAGAAAAATTTAGTATCTGTCCATATTTCTGAGATTGGGTATTATGTACACTATTTACATTATTCGGACTATTGTCCTCATCTTTGTCGCCATATTTAATTATAACGTTTCGGCCCTTCAGTATCTGTCTATATTTCTGAGATGAGGTATTATGTACATTATTTACATTATTCGGACTATTGTCCTCATCTTTGTCGCTATATTTATAACAACGTTTCGGCCCTTCAGTATCTGTCTATATTTTTGAGATGAGGTACTATGTACACTATTTACATTATTGGTACTATGGTCCTCATCTTTGTCGCCATATTTATTACAATGTTTCGGCGCTTCAGTATCTGTCTATATTTCTGAGATGAGGTATTATGTACACTATTTACATTATTCGTACTATTGTCCTCATCTTTGATGCCATATTTATTACAACGTTTCGGCCCTTCAGTATCTGGTCTATATTTCTGGAGATGAGGTATTATGTACACTATTTACATTATTCGTACTATTGTCCTCATCTTTGTCGCCATATTTAATTACAACGTTTCGGCCCTTCAGTATCTGTCTATATTTCTGAGATGAGGTATTGTGCACACTATTTACATTATTGGACTATTGTCCTCATCTTGCCGCCATATTTATTACAACGTTTCGGCCCTTCAGTATCTGTCTATATTTCTGAGATGAGGTATTATGTACACTATTTACATTATTCGGACTATTGTCCCTCATCTTTGTCGCCATATTTATTACAACGTTTCGGCCCTTCAGTATCTGTCTATATTTCTGAGATGGTATTATACATTATTTACATTATTCGGACTATTGTCCTCATCTTTGTCGCTATATTTATTACAACGTTTCGGCCCTTCAGTATCTGTCTATATTTCTGAGATGAGGTATTATGTACATTATTTACATTATTCGGACTATTGTCCTCATCTTTGCCATATTTATTACAACGTTTCGGCCCTTCAGTATCTGTCTATATTTCTGAGATGAGGTATTATGTACACTATTTACATTATTCGGACTATTGTCCTCATCTTTGTCGCCATATTTATTACAACGTTTCGGCCCTTCAGTATCTGTCTATATTTCTGAGATGGGGTATTATTTACACTATTTACATTATTGGTACTATGGTCGTCATCTTTGTCGCCATATTTAATTACAACGTTTCGGCCCTTCAGTATCTGTCTATATTTCTGAGATGAGGTATTATGTACACTATTTACATTACTCTGACTATTATCCTCATCTTTGTTGCCATATTTATTACAACATTTCGGCCTTTCAGTATCTGTCTATATTTCTGAGATGAGGTATTATGTACACTATTTACATTATTCTTACTATTGTCCTCATCTTTGTTGACATATTTATTACAACGTTTCGGCCGTTGTACGCTCCGGCATTCTTCAGGTGGTTGGTATGTAGAACTGAACGCTTAATTTCACTCACTGGGGTAGACTGTTCTACGTCCCCATGCCATGTCTAATGGATGTCAGTTATCAGTAATCTCCTGTTAATTCCCTCTGCAAGTTCTCCACCGCCTTAAGCAGGTATTGAACTCACAACTCTTTGGGTTCTATCACTGGATCTAACGCCTTTATCCACTGTGCCACGTGTCCCTAAGGCAGTGGTGAACTTGGAGAAGGGAATTAAGAGGAGATAACTGATAACTGACGTCGATTAGACATGGCACGTGGAACTAGAACAGTCTATCCCAGTGACCGAAATAAAGGGTTCAGTTTGTCATTCCAACCACTTGAAGAAGGCCGGAAGGCACAACGGCCGAAACCATGTAATAAATATGGCGACAAAGATGAGGACAACAGTCCGAATAATGTAAATAAGGAAAATTTAGTTTAAAAAATGAAAAGATTACTCAACTACTATATAATATCAACCATCCTATATGACTGAATATTGTTCAGTTTCCTCACAGATAAAGTGAAATCTTGAAGCGATAGAAATGTGGTTCAGTAAAACTATCGAGGATTGCAATTGTCATTGTCTTTTTTGTTTTTATATCATTCCCAGGCAATCATTTTCAGACATTTTTTTTTATTTGTTTTTATATAGTAGCTAAGAAACTGAGGCACCTTGAATTACCCGAATGGCGTCGGCTAACACCTCTATCCCTCGTATGAGTTGACTCATTTCAAGCTCAGAAGTGGCATAAAATAATAAAGATCGACGTATAAACACGTATGTAACTGGTTTGTGAATGTGTTTATATTAGAGAGTAGTAATACTGTTAGAAAAGGTGAAATAGGGGAAAAAAAACCCTGGGCGTAAATTAATATTTGGATAATATTCAATGGCGGTACTCTCGATGATTTCCCTGAGTGAGTTTTTTTCTGTTTTTTTATGAGTGTAGCATTTTTGAAATCAAAATTGTGGTTGAATTTTTTTTCTATGTATGACGAGTGCATTAGTTAAGTTATTTTTTTGTTGTGAGGTCTCTTTTGTGCAACTCTTTCAAACGAACGTACACAACAACTATATCAAGAAATCAAAAGAAAATGGTTGAATCCGTCAACACAACAATAAAAACAATATTTCCAAATGTGACGGTAATTGATGCAATTTTCAGTTGACAATATGAATATAATAGCCTTCTCTAAATTCTTCCAGTTGCTAATGACATTTTGTTTTGTTATTAACAGTTACTTTGTTTTAAAAATTCATTTTTTTTTGCCTTGAAAAAATTCACATTGGACGAAATGCGTCGGATAATATTACAGTTTTCTTATTGTCTTTTACATTTATAAATATTGTCTTTTCTACAGGTAACGCTGAGAAATTTTCTCTATCTATCTATCTATCTATCTATCTATCTATATATATATATATATATATATATATATATATATATATATATATTTATTATAAGAGATTATAATAAAACATATATATAGATATATTATATATTATTATAAGAGATTATAAACACACACACACACACACACACACACACACACACACACATATATATATATATATATATATATATATATATATATATATATATATATATATATATCGCTCTAACATTCGTCCTACACTCATACATACACTCTCACTAAATTTTATTTTTTA